AAAAAAAAAAAAAAAAAGAATAAGGACTGGGATGTAGATAGTGCAAAGGCTCTCCGTTCAGTTCCATTACTATTAAATAAATACAGGGCCAGGGAGATGACTCAGTAGAAGAGTTCAATCCCCAGTTCCGCCAAAATAAATACATACATACATATATACTCACATATCCACACTGCGTAGCATTCATGTGGTATGGCTATGTAAACATTTAGGTGTTTTTGGTTTTTGGTTTTTTGGGCTGGCTCAGGCAGACTTGGGTGGGTCTGGTGCAGTATGTGAAGCTGGGGAGCAAACCATGGTCCCCTGTACCTGACTTGAGTTTGCCCAAGCAGGTCTTTAAACAACTGAGCTAGGGGGCCGGGAATATAACTCAGTGGCATAAGCAACTGCCTGGCAAGTGCAAGGTCCTGAGTTCGATGCCTGGTACCACCAAAAAATAAAAAAACTGAGCTAACCGGCAAGGCCCCCATGTCAACATTCATATATTTATTTTGTGTGTGTGGCCAGCTCAGCCCACCAGGGGGCGGGGCTGGCTGGCATGTGGTGCTGGGGGATTGAACCGCAGTCCCTGGGCTTTGCTAAGCTTGTTCTAAGTAGGTGCTTTAGACCACTGAGCCATCTTACCAGCCCTGATATATAACCAGTCTAGACTCCATTTTTTTCTTTGAAGACTCTCTTTTCTTATCAATCTGTATTTTAACTATCATCAGCTATGTACTTGAGCCTCCTTGAATACATTCTAATTCCACACTCCACAACCATACATCTTACTGCCTACTTGATATCACCAATTGGATGTTTTGTATATATCTCAAGGTATTTAATTCTCATTCTCATAAATCTATTCTGGCTCTTTGCTCAAGCCAAAAATCAGGGCATTCCCTTTGTTTTTTTCCCTTAGTTCATGTCAGCATTCAGTAAATGAGCAAGTCCTCTGCCATACTGTCTGACCCCACAGAAACTTGCGCCTTCTCACTTACATTGCCACCATCTTTGGCTTGGCACTGTGCATTGCCTCCTAACTGACCTTTCTGTTCATACTTGTATCTGATAGAGTTCATTCTCCCCCAGCAGTAAGACTAAGATGAGAGCATAATGCTCCACGTTGTAAAACTTCAGTGACTTGTAGTGGAACTGTGAATAAAATAAAAAAAGCTCTTGTAAGACTGCTCAATTTGGGCCCTTCCTGCTTTTGCTTTAATTTCAGCTGCTTTTGTTTACTCACGCTCCAGATATAATGACCTCCTTTCGGTTTCATGTGGCAGTTTCCTTCCATGCCTTTATATTTGCTCTTCCCCTAATTAGCTTCTACTGGTTTTTTTGTTTTGCTTTGTTTTGTTTGGGGCTAGTTCTGAACTGACTTTGTAGCCCATACTGGCCTTGAACTCAAATGATCTTCTTGCCTCAGCATCCCAATTGCTGGAATTACAGGCATGCGCCACCATGCCTGGCCCTGTTCATCTTTGGTTTTTTGTTTTTTATTTTTCCTATTCATCTCTAAACATCTGTTTCAATGTCAGTTCCTCAGAGAGATCACCCCTGATGGCCACATCTAAAGTAGCTCCCCCCCAGATATAGTCATTCTATCTTGCTAGTTTCTTTTCTTCACAACATTTGTCACTTTCAAAAAGATCTTTGGTGGGCAAAGGGGCACACACCATAATCCCAGCTTTCAAGAGTTTGAGACCACCCTGAACTATGCAAACACTATCTCAAAAAA